AAATATTCTGGTGTCTAAGCCTTCTCTTCCTGGGTTTCCTTTAAGTTGTCCCTGCCCTGCCTGGAAAGACTGAACCACCACCTGGTCATGGGTTCACCCCAAAGCCCTTGCACCTGTGCACTGGCAGCTACACCCCGACCCCCAGTCCACAGGGCCAGACCTGTCCTGGGCTCTGTGCTGGCAGGTACTGCTGTCACAGGCACCAGGTCTCAGTCCACTCTCTGCAGCCACTGTGGGACCTAGATCCACTTGAAGAGATGCTCCTTCTGAGCTCTGTCTGGTCCTTGAAAGAACCTGGTCGAGGCAGAACTTCCTTCTGGAAGAAATTAGCATTTCTGATAATGTGAAGTATGCATGAAACAAGTGTACTTCACAGGGCCTGGTTTTCCAAAGCCTTGCAGTTTCAAATATTGACCTTGCAAAGGACAGGAAAATTTCCCCAGGCTACAGTCTATGTTGTAAGATAAGGAATTGTAACACAGCAAGGTTGCTGGCTCAAAGACAGACAGGTTACTGATTGATATGTAAAGATACTGGGAAATTGCTGTAAGAAGAGAATGTTTGAGAAAGTCGAGGTTTTGTTAGTGGATAGACTTAATTGCATTATAGAATGTCACCTTACTGAATGTTACCAGCTTCTATTGTTAAACTCGTTAAACTGTACTTAGCAAAAACCCCACCTATGTCTCTTCCTGTAACTTCCTGGTCTGGAGAATAAATGCAGGAAGAGAACCCCAATTTGGGGCTAATTTCCCAAATAGAAGGAATGCCTCACTCTTGGGGGTTCCAGGAGATTAACCACTTTTCGGGCTTCTCACTGCTCAGAAGAGATGGGTTTTGAGTAATCTTTGGTGGCTCTGTCACCCAGGGGAAACGGGGTGACAAATCCGTGGCAGGCAAAGCAACACGATAAAATGTTTTTGCAATGTTGTATGATTTCATAACTATCATGACAGTGAGACCTGCTCTTGGGAACAAGCCACCCGCCCAGGTGAATATATATATCACAGGTGGCCAGAGGTTATTTCTGTGTCTAGTCTGACAGCGATTTGTGATTTGTGTGATTTGTGTTACTTCCCTGGGTGAATCTCTGAAGCGATCTCTCAGGACCCTCCCCTTGCTTGTGAGATTGTAGCAGAATGGCTGAGAAGCTGTCTTCAGCAGGCTCTGTGCAATCTCCTCACCTCTTCACTTGTTGTCACCCAGATAATCCCTGTCAGGCCTCGGGTCTCAGCTAAAGTGCCCCACCCAGCATCGACACCCACATAATGACAATAACAGTAATAATGACACAGTTTGCCACACGCCAGCCCTAGCTAAGCCTGCCCATGATAATTCATTTATGCCTCCCACCAACACAGTGAGGTGGGCACGACTCTGATCCTCCATCTACAGGTGAAGATCAAGGCCCAGAGAGGGTCCATGGTAACTTGCCCAACTCAGCCCACCTGGGAGCTGAGGAGCAGCCAGTCATGCCTAGGCGGAGGGGTGGAAGAGATATCTTGGGGGGCCAGGGAAGGCCTCACTGAGAAAATGACATTCCAGTGGACCTGAAGGAGTTGAGGGACTAGCCATGCTGATGAGGGCCAATTTGATTATTATACAATGTATGCATGTATCAAAATATCACACTGTACCACATAAATATGTACAATTGTGTATCAATTAAAGATTAATTAATTTTTAAAAAAGAATTCCAGAAAAGGGAATAGCAAGCTCAGAAGGTGCCTGGTGGTCCGCAGTCAGTGGGGACAGAGGGCCAAGGGACAGGGTGTTAAATAAAAATTATTCAACAATGCTTGTTTAAGCATAGTAAGGCAGACTTTACTCTGGACCATGGCAATTGGTAGAGGGACCACTGGAATGAGATTCTGCAGTGGGAGACGGAAATAGAGCTCAACTCCAAATACAGCATGAGTAAGTGGGAATTTATAGCCAAGGAGCAGGGTGGGGGTCAGTGGATGGAAAACTACCAAAAGAAGACATCACGGGTGAGGGGGATTCTTGCTAAACTGACCTAACAGGATTATAGCTGAAGACAGGCCAGGGTGACACAGAATGAGGGACCTGATCAGGTATCAAGGGTGAGGAGTTCTTACTAAAACTGGATTGTACAGGGAAGTGCACAGATAGGCCTGGGAGAAAGATCAAGCAGAGAATCTTTGTTAAGCCACGATAGCCACAGTGCTCCCGGGTAGGGCCTCTCCCATCTGCTCAGAACCACAGCCCCCTTTCTGGGGGCCATACTACCGCCCTCCACTCCAGTGAGTGCCTTAAGAACCTCCTAGTCAGTACCTGCCATCCTCTGGGTTGGGGCATGCACCCACCCAGCTGGGACCAGCAGAGCCCTTCTGGAACTGGGACCAACCCCAGGGTGGCTGAGGGAGAGGAAATGCAGCCTGGGTGGAACGGAGGTGGGGGGCCCAAACAGCAGTTAGTGAGAGGAAAGAGGATGGAGCAGGCCCAGGGGGGTGGGGGAGGTGGAGGCCTGCGTAGGGACCTCGGGTGTCCTGAGTCCCCACATCAGTCAGTCCCATGAACTGCTGCAGAATTCATTCACCCAGGACAAAGTGTTCTCACTGGGGCAGCTTGTCCACCCCACCCTCCCCAGAGGAGGCTTCTCCCACCCCTTGTCCAAGATGAAGACAAGACCCACACAGCCCATGGCAAGACCTCTCCTACCTGTGGGCGTTAGTCCCAAATTAGCAATGCCCCAGGCATCCAGAGTAACTTCCTGAACCCAGCGGGCTGCCTCCAATTGGGGCTCTGTCAATGCAGAAAAAGAACTCACATCTCCAAAAGACGAAGACAGCCTGCGGAGCTCGGCTTTGAACAAACATAGCCGGCAGCACACGCACCCCTCCTCCAGGCCTGCAGGTCAGAGCTGGGCCACAGCAGGCGTCACGGGCGCACACACCTGAGCGCTCCGCACCCGGGGAAAATGCCACTATTTGCATAACATGACAACCCCACGCAGGCTCTTCCCCAGAATAATGGGCAGGTCCTGGGGTAGTTCCCAGCTTGCTGTTGAGAGAGAAGAAAGTGCTTTTGGTTGGTTCCTTTTAAACTCCCAATTCACAGCGCCGACCAGCTGTGATAGCTCCAATTACAGATCCAAAGATTTCTGGGCCACAGAGCAGCTTTCTGTCCTGCCTGCAGATCAAAGCGCCGGCAGCGGCAGCCCCCAGCCACACACCCCCAGGCCCAGAAGCCACGCTGCAATGTGACATCAAGGGCATCGCTCTCAGGAGACTGGCCCCTCCAGCTCCCACGAGGCTGGCAGCAGCCTCAGGTCCCGCCCCTTCCCCACCCCATCCCTGGGAGCCCCTGCCCTTCAAACTTGGCTCCCCACACTGCCCCTGGTCGTGGAGCTTTCACGTTTCATCAGGAAAATGCCAGCTCTGCAGCCAGAGCTGGGCGTCCTGCTGCGACCCCGAGAGGCCCTTCCAGGGCCCTGTGCACTTTCCCAGTGGTTCCAGGGTCAGTGACCAGGGGAAGCCCTCCCCATAGGGGGGCCCAGATGCTGCATTTCCTGAGGTCAGATGTCCAGAAGGGCGCGCTGAGCTGTGTGCAAATCCAGTGCCAAGGAGCTGCCCGGGGAACCCATCCTAGGGGGAGCCTCCCTGGGGAAGATGCTGCATTTCCTGAGGTCAGATGTCCAGAAGGGCGCGCTGAGCTGTGTGCAAATCCAGGGCCAAGGAGCTGCCCGGGGAACCCATCCTAGGGGGAGCCTCCCTGGGGGAGACCCGCCTAGGGGAGCTGCCCGGGCCAGGGGCTGCTGGAGGTGGGGTTGTCTTGAGGGGCACTCATTGCACTGACCCGTGTGTGCTCGGCCGCACCCCCCACCCACCCTCCGGGGCACACCTCCCACTAGGTGCGCTCGTCTTTCCCACTTGACGGGCAAACTGGAGACCGAAGGGTTTAAGTCCAGGGCTGTGTAGTGGCAGAGCCAGGACCCGATCCCATTGTCTGCAGGCGGGTTCTTCCCGCCAGTGCAAACCCGGGCAGACCCGAGCCCACACCCGCCCCGCTGCGCCGCCTCTGGGCCCGCAGGAGCGCACACGGCCTGAGAGCACCCGCCGTCTCGTGCTTCAGAAAAAGCACCGACCGCGGGCCGGTTCCCTTCCCATTTGCTCGTTCACGGGGCGCCCACAACGCCCTCGATGGTCTGGACTTTTAAAGGGCTCCCCAGATCCAGCGGCACCGGAGGTTCGGGGCGCACGAACCACCCTCCTCCGGGGAGCTCCGGCCCAAGAGGACCTGGGACAAGCACTGAGTGTGAACCCCAGGGAGGAGAGTCCAGGAAGCGCCTTCCGGCCCCCGCGCGCGCTGCCTGGGGCTCCTGGGGCTCCCTCGGCCAGAGCCGACCTCGCGGGAGCAGCGCAGGCGCCCCGACCCGCCCCTCCCAGGCCTTGACCCCGCCCCGGCCCCGCCTCAGCCTTGCGTCCGCCGGGTTCAACGGCCTCGGGTACCTGAGAAGACCGGAGAGCGCGC